CACATTGAGGAAAGTACAGAACTGAGTCACATGACAAGCCATCACATGGAAATATCAAGGTCGAAGGAAAAGAGAAGTGCTTAAGAATATATTTCGCCGACAAATGGAGGCAGACATGCAAAGGATGAACAACAGTTAGATAGAACTACAAAGGAAGCCCTAGTACAGAGTAGGATGAAGAATACAGTTCGGTGGCGGCCTATGCTCCATTGGGGGTAACAGGCGAAAGTAAGCAAAGTAAAGTAATATATCAGATTCATAAGCGACAGTCTTGCTTACACACACACCTAACCTCTAGATCATTAAGCCTTCATCCAACGGTGTTAATGCCTAACTCTGTTCATTCAAAGGAATTTTACGCATCCTTAACTATTTAGTTAACTGTCTACACACGAACAATGTTGAACTCCATTGGTCACACAAATTCTCCTTAGTATTCCAAGAATTTCCTCACGAATCTAATAATAGTCACCAGTGAACACATGAGGACTGTTAAGTTTCATTGAACTCAATAATAACTCTGTGATCTAGTGATTTAACGTTCGCATCGAAGACTGAATTTCCTGCGTTCGATTCCCGCCTAAAAGATAGTGGATATGTAAGGTATAAGTAAATGGTCACACCACTTCTCACTAGAAATCCAAGTAGTCACTAGTGAAGATTATCGAGTTTCATTTTACTCAATAACGACTCTATGATCTAGAGGTCCTGTGTTCGATTCCCACCTACAAGATAGTAGATGTGCAGAGTGTTATTTAAGTTTACAATGTTTGTTCCATGACTATTCATACTACTAACTAAAGACTGTTACTAGTAGTAATCGATGTTCGATCATTAAAATTTTTTTATGAAACAAACTATAAATCAAATTACACTTTTGAATTGTCAAACTTTCACTCATTCACTTTTCACTAATCATCATAGCAACAAACATAGAAATAACCTTTTTTCAAATACTACTTATTATTATAATGATCGCACCGAAGATGAGAAAAAAATTAATTAAAAACCACTTATCATTTGAAAAAAATATGTGTTAAGAATTGACATCGGCAACTACTAACGCCAATTCATACAACCAAAACAAACAAACAGGACACGTGTCATCATGATGTTCCTCTCTGTCTCTCTCTTGAAATTACCGGAAGAACAAAAAACTGTGAAATCATGTCATATTTACTCATAATTATTATATTGAAGTTAGATTTTGTCTTGACAACTACGTGCACACACGTGCACACACACAGACATAGACACACATACACAGCCCCATCGCCCAGACATATATGTAATTAATTTTCTCTTCTGAAGTAGTAGTAGTAGTGTGATGATGACTCTTATGCCGAACCGCCCGCCCCTGCATTCATTGTTACAATATGGGTTACGCAACAAACTGTTGATTGCGTAAGAAGGGCCACCTAAGTGGTCAATAGGCACATGGATACTAAGCAAAATAAGTAGAATAACCAGTCCAGTCAATTACTACTCTCAATTGACAATTAATTGACAATTGTGAAGTTGAAATCACACACACACACACCTTATGATAGAAATTCAAGTCGAAATGATCTACACCACACTAGTGACTAGTTTCAATAAAATTCTTGTAAGTAACTGTATGTAACCTAGTGAAGTTCAACCTTGTACGACTGTTGTAGGCCAACTACTTATCGAATAAAATGCATGAGGTTGCGTAGCACCTTAGATCGGTTAAAGTGAGACATTTAACATCGCTATATATGTTAAGCGTTCGCACGCGAGAGATCGAAGCTACTTGGTTCGATTCCTCTGCGTATCAGTAAGTTCCATAGTGGCATGAATGGACCACCCAGCACTTGAAAGTTTCGAATGGTCGTTTAACGCTGGTTAATTCATAAGGATTATCGCTACGCGTAAAAAAGTACAGAAGAAGACTGAGAAGCACACCACAAAGTCATTTCATCCTAGTATCATCCATCATTCCACAGTCGGAACCCCGACTCCAAGATCTCAGGCCCTTACTTAGTTACTTACTTACGCCTGTTACCACCCCCAATGGAGCATAGACCGCCAACCAGTTCCCTCCAACCAACTCTGTCCTGGGCTTCCCTTTCCAGCTCTGTCCAATGTTTGTTCATTCCTCTCATATCTTTCTCTATTTCTGGGCGTAATGTATCCATATGGCCTTCCTCTTTCCCCTTGACTTTGAGACTTCCATGTGAGGGCTTGTCTCGTGACGCAGTTAGGTGCTTTCCGCAATGTGTGTCCTATCCACTTCCACCGCTTCTTCCTGATTTCCTCCTCCACTGGAATCTGGTTTGTTCTCTCCCACAGTACGTTGTTGCTGATGGTGTGTCTGGCCAACGAATCCGAAGTATTTTGCGTAGACAACTGTTCACAAATACTTGTATCTTCTGGATGATGGCTTTGGTAGTTCTCCAAGTTTCCGCTCCATACAGTAGAACTGTCTTGACATTTGTATTGAAAATCCTGATTTTGGTTGAAAGTTGTTTGGAGTTCCAGATATTTTTCAACTGTAGAAATGCAGCCCTTGCTTTGCCAATCCGTGCCCTCATATCTGCATCGGATCCACCTTGATTGTCGATGATGCTGCCCAGATATGTAAAGTTGTTAACGTCCTCCAAGGCATCTCCATCAAGAGTGATTTGGTTGGTGCATGTTGTGTTGCATCGGAGAATTTTGCTTTTTCCTTTATGTATGTTGAGACCTACTGATACTATACTGGTCGTCTTCTCTTGCATTTGTTGTTGCGTGTGCGATCGAAGAGCCAGATCAGATCTGCGAAGTCCAGATTTTCCAGCTGCGTCCTAACTGTCCAGTTGATACCGTGCTTCCCTCCAGATGTCGACGTCTTCATAATCCAGTCGATTGATGACCAGGAGAAAGAGAAAGGGTGAGAGTAAGCAACCTTGCCTGACACCGATCTTCACCTCAAAACAGTCTGTTAGCTGTCCTCCGTGCAGTTGAATCCATCTTAAAACCCCCCTTACCCAGTGTAATAGAAAATGGGCGAACTGACTTATGCGCTATTACACACTGACTGACTGACTCAATGGCCTTCAGATACAAAAACCAAACATTGAAAAAAAATAGTTTTTTCTGTCAACGATAAATTTTGCATATTCAAACAACATTCA